GATGGTTGGACTGACTCGATAAAGAGGTCTTTTCCAACCTCAATGATTCTATGATTCTATGATTCTATGATTCTAAAGTAAGATTCATCTGCACTATTTGAAATGTTTGCCTTAAGATAAGTTACAGCCTTAAAATGTCTGTTTCTTGTTACTCACTATGAGGGATGCTACATGCAGGTTTCTGTGTCTGATTTCTGGGTATTCCACCCCATTTGTGTTTGGTGGCTCAGCAGTGTAGCTTAACAATGCAGACCAGTTTTGGTGTAGAAAGTATTGAATCTTGTTCTCAAACTCTCCTTGCATGCTACATCAAATTAATTGTCTTCCAAATAATGAGTAAAAGAGAGTCTGTCATAACCTACCTGCATGTTTTGTAGATTGAAAAGTATTCCGATTATTTTTGGTAATGCCTTGCTATTATTACTTATCGTACCTTAATTATGGCTACTTATAGCGCCTTTCCAGTTTCTGTCTCTCCAGTCACATTTTGCATGTATTATTCTTCCCTGGGTATTATTGATATTGTACAGCATAATAATAAAGTAAATGTGGATGTTCCAGTAAAATAGCCCTTCCCTCTAGCTAAAGAGGACTGAAAAAGAAGTAAAGAAGAATAGAAATCGAAAATTGAAAAGTCCTTGCTCAAACACCAAACGTTAAGAACCTGAATTTTCACTGTTAAATTTCTAGATCCAGAGAACTGGGTGTAAGATACCTGCATTTAAAAACTAAAACCACCTTAATAATTTAGAAGAGTGTGAGAGGAGTCAATTTCCCAACTTTTCTTGTTCTTTATAAAACAATGTTAAATATCTAGATGTAACTACATACTCCAGTTTTGTTTAGGATTTGTAAGTTTCTTAATGTGCAAATGGATTCTAAATTATATATAACTGCTGTAGTTTTTATTCAGTTTAGTAATCCTACTCTGAAGTAAAAGCTTTTCTTTCTTTTTATTAGTAAGGACTTACATTCTCTGGGTGGAAAGCCTGAGAAAGATATTATTTCTCATTAACTTGATTTAATATGAAACCAAATTATATTAATCACCCTGCAGATATTCTCAGCATGTGGAAAAGTAATTAAAATAGGTTGCTACCTTGTGATATGAAGTTAATTCACAGGTTTTAATGTAGCAACTTTGCCAGTAGTCAAAGGAGCAGAACATCAGTATGAAGCTTAAGAAGAAAACGCTGTGTGAAGAAACACATCCTACTCTATTAGAAATTGAAAACAAGTAAGAGTGAAGACAGAAAACACAGATTTGTGTTTGGGCCTAATTAAATTCCTTAGCCCATTTCCAAAACCAATCTTCCCCCACTTGCCAGTGCTAAGGATCGTTTAACCGATACATGTTTAAACACTCAGACCATTTAAATCAGTTAGCATAACAAGTTTTTGGCATAATTCTTCTTGAACGCTGTGTATTTTTCTTTCCTTAAATTTTCTAATGGAAAACAGTATCGAATCTAAATAAAATTAGAACAAAACAGACTTATCATGCATAATGCCCTATATCTGCTATGGAAATGGAAAAGGCTCATCCAGAACTTCATATAGGAGTGGAAAATGATGCAGTTCAATTATTCATTAAGAAAATAAGCAAAACCCCACAATGCTGAGTATTTTAAAAGTGAAATGAGGCTTTTTCTTGTAAGCTACAGTGGTGAACATGTAACAAAGGAGCTCTGCTGCTACCTTTTTATTCTGTAGATGGAGTTGGAAAAGTCTCTCCCTCTCCCAGGGCCCCGTTTCACTGGCTGCTTTCCCAAGGACTCACTGACCTTGGTGAGAATGTGATGCAATATTTCTGTAACTGCAAAGGAATGGGACATCAGGTTGTTGGAGCCACACACACATGGTTTATTTTACTCTTGTGTCGTGGTTTAACCCTAGCCGGCAGCTAAGCACCACACAGCCGCTTGCTCCTGGTGGGATGGGGGAGAGAATCGGACTGGTAAAATTGAGAAAACTCGTGGGTTGAGATAAAGGCAGTTTAATAGGTAAAACAAAAGCCGCGCACGCAAGCAAAGCAACACAAGGAATTCATTCACTCCTTCCCATCGGCAGGCAGGTGTCCAGCCATCTCCAGGAAAGCAGGGCTCCATCACGTGTAACGGTTACTTGGGAAGACAAACGCCATCACTCCGAACGTCCCCCCCCTTCCTTCTTCTTCCCCCAGCTTTATATGCTGAGCATGACATCACATGGTGTGGAATATCACCTTGGTCATTTGGGATCAGCTGTCCCGGCTGTGTCCCCTCCCAACTTCTTGTGCACCCCCAGCCTACTTGCTGCTGGGGTGGTGTGAGCAGCAGAAAAGGCCTTGACTGTGTGTAAGCACTGCTCAGCGGTAACAAAAACATCCCTGTATTATCAACACTGTTTCCAGCACAAGTCCAAACCATAGCCCCACACTAGCTACTATGAAGAAAATTAACTCTATCCCAGCCAAAACTAGCACATGTTGACATCTAAAGTAGCTAAGAACCTAACTCTTAAAGATCATGCTTTGTCTCAAAAGCATGTTCTCTGGCTGTGACTTTTGCCTGATCATGCTAGCAGCAAAGAAACCCAAGAGGATGTTTGGACCACGGATCGTAACAGCCTTCCCTTCTACATATTTCCTTGAGTTGTCAGATATCTCTGTCTTGTACAAAGTGCAGATAATAGGCAGTCTGTTTTGCCTGTGTCTGAAGTTTTTGGAAATTTGTGTATGGACAACCCAGATAAGAAGCAAGAAAGCATCAAAGCTTAGTCGTTATAGTGATATGACCAGACCTGCCTCCTCTTTCACTGCATCTTGAATTGTAAGAGAGAAAAACATTTTGAGTATCCGTAGAAGCCCTTGGATGATAAGAACATCTTCCTCAACCTTGTTTTCTTCATTTACAAATGCGTGGCATCTCTGCCTTGTCTGTCCCATTTGATCTTACTAAGGCTCCCCACAATCATGGACTGCTTCCTTCATGTCCCACTGCTTGCCCTTTGAGAAATCCAGTAACAGCTCATATTCTTTCTTTGCACACATAGAGTTAAATAGCTGTGTCTTTTTTTCATTGACAACTTATTGATCAAGAAAATGTCAAAACAGAGAGCAAGATATGACATTTTAGTACAACAAAATTCAATAGTCCTTTTTGTGATATTTCCCTGAGCTATAGAATACTAATATGGAATGGAGGTGGAGGGCAGAAACTGAGATATGGCAGCAGAGTATAACAAATACACAGGAAGAGCTTAGTTTTACTAAAACTCATTTATAATATCTGCAGTCATTCTAAACAAAGTCACCTAAGGAATAAAATTGACACCAACACCATAGCTGCTCATTATGAATCCGAAAATTACTCTGAGCTGAGACTTAGGTTTGTTCCAAAAGTCTGAGACTGGCAATCCTGAAAGTGGTAGTTTTATATGGCCTTTTAAAAATTACTTCTTTTTTAATGGCAGAGCTCATTTATTATATCTGCAGTCATTCTAAACAAAGTCAC